AAAGTGACATTCAGACATGATTTTGTCTGATAAAAATAGTTTAGATTAAAAAATTTGATTTCTCTTTCTCTTTCTCTTTGTTTCATATGAATATTTTGGCTATCAAAATACGAATTGTTTTTAGAAATTTAAAATATTTTTCAGTTTTATTTATACTACAAGGAAAACGAATATTGACATTTATTCTAATTGAGAACAATCGAATTGAAAATTGAATATTAATTTTGATTGGTGGAAATGTTCACCATACAATTTCTATGCTCTAAAAACCCGCTAAATAGAAAATTATTTTTCTAGATTGTAGAGATGATTAAATGATCGTAGGTGAGTTATTTGTTCGATTAATTGATTTTAAGAATTTTGTTTTTTAGATATCATCTTGTAAATTATTATAATTAAATATTTAGCTGATTATTTTCTTTTGGTTGAATATGATCATAATGAAGAACGATGAGGTTGGTCATATAATAAAAATTATTCAATGTTTTTTTGATAAAGATTTATCTGATTATTGATTTAATTAATAGATTATAGACACTTTGATCAATTCTAAGAATGAATATTAAGTAGAAAACATGAATTAACAATATTTTATTTGTTTAAATTTTAACTGATTTAGATAATTTAAGAGATTATTGGCGTTGTTTAACATTTAATTAAACATTTATTAAATATAATCAATGTATATTAGTGATAAAAACTGATGATACCTTCCGTTGTGATATCGGGACCACAATTAGTGAGAATTTCAATGGAAAGACAATTTCGTGACCATTGTTCAATAGGTTGTTCAAAAACATCGGGTTGAAAATAATTAACGAAGAGAAGAGTTTGAATGGTATTGAGACATTTCTCCATCGAATCGAATGCTATCAATCGACTGAGATCGATAAACGAAGGGAATTGAATTTTTTCAATAATCTCCATCGGATTGCCGATAAAACCTTGTAGAATCTGGTGACGAATGATTGAGAATGCGAGGGTGACGAACATTTCTTTCGATGAATCAGAAAGACATTGAACGAAGAACAGTAGCATCTCTTCCGGTAATCGTCGATGCTGTGCAACACGTTCGAGTACTTTCAAAGTGCTTTCATCATTCTTGTCAACGAATATTTCGAATAGAATCTGTTGGGTTTTATCTTCAATCATTGCACCCTGATCGATGAGAATTCCCATCAATTCAATCAATTTGGCTTTGGGATCTTTCGGTAGGGCCATTTCAATGGATCTCATCAGAGCTAAATGTTGATCAAATGGAATATTGTGTTGATGGGCCAGAAGAAAAAGATCGAGAATTTCATCTTGATCTTTACTAACGAAATGTTCCATCACCAATGCAAATAGTTCATCGGTGATGCGTTTTTCGATGACAATCATTCCACGAAATATTTTCAAGATTCGACGAACATCATTTCCATAACTTTGGTCCTTCTTCGTATTGAGATAATCAAAAAAGAATTCGACTTTTGTTCGATTGTTCTTCATTTGTGTCGCAAGAATCTCTTGAACACATTGTTGTACAGGTTCTTTCGATGAACGAGTGGCTAAATAGAGAAGATCATCAATAACTGCCATGGGTAACGGTTGTTCAGATCGATTGTCGAATAACAATTGTAATGTTTTCATATTGATCGTTTCATCTCGAAGTGTCATTGAAATGACACTGAGAACTCGCGGTGAAAGAGCTTTGCCTTTTGACATTGTCGATGCCAAGATCATTGCTGCATCGGTTTTCACCTGTAAATCACAACTGTAGAGCATGTGTGATAATCGAATGATTAATGGCTCGGGTAACTTCATCCCGATGTTCATTGCCTCTTTCAATTGTTTCAATAACACTCGATCATCCGTTTGATTATTACATTGAAAGACATCGAGATATTTCGAGATATTTCTATCGGTCGATCGAACACGATTGAGAATTTCAAATGAAATCGTTTGAAGATCCGCATCATCATCATTGTCAATGAAATTGATCAGAATATCGATAGTTTTTCGATGAAGTTCTTCCCCATGATTGATCAGAAGTCGAAGGGCGGTACAGATTTCTTTGCGAACATTGAGCGATTGATCCGATCGAAGAAGAAATGAAAGAGATGTTTGATTGATTTCTTTCGATCGATTATCAGCCACAGCTTTATAAAACAAAGCTAATCGATACTGTAAATCAGGATGAAGTGTTTTCCATCGATGTTCCTCGAAGAACAATTGAAATATCTGAGAAATTATCGATGCCTCCAATGGTTTTTGCCGTTCGATGAGATATTGATAGATTTCGATAATAAAATGATTCATAGATGGATCTGTTACATTGTTATATAATCGGGCAATGATTTCATCGGTAATAATTTGATTTTGACGCGTCAAATGAGTAAAGATTTGGATCAGATCGATCGATGGTTGACCGATCTGTTCGAAAAAGATCGTTCCTAAAATTGATAAATGTTCATCTTTATTTAATGATTGTCCATTGGCAACAACATTGACTAAGATTGGCATCAATACTGAGCGTTGTTCTTGATCGGATTCCAATTTTCGAAGAAGGAGATCGAGAACAGATGTACATAAAGATCTTCCTTGGCTAGTCGAATAGAGAAGTTCTTTGATCGCTTTATTCAAACTGGATGGACATCTTGAATATTGAAGGATTTTCCCATAATAAATCTGTCGAAGAAGTTCATCGATACTTTTCGGTAATGGTTGATTTCGATCAGCATGTGTTAAGAGTTTCGTGATTTCGTTTGGTTGAGAAGTTTTAAATAACAGTTGAGCGAGCATATCAATGGCTTTTTTCGATAAACGTTCACCTGTCATAACGAGAGATTTGAGAATTGAAATCACTTCATTCATTATCGGTGTTTCTCGAGTTAAGAGATGTTCGAGACAGACAAATGTTGTGGGTGATAATGGATGCTTTTTCAAATAGATTTGAAGAACACCGATGGATTTACTTGAGATCGACACTTCTCCATCATAGAGACAACATTCGATCAGATGAATTAATGCTTCAGATAAGATAAAATCTTTTGCAACGAATAATTGAAGAAGATCAAGACTCGATTGTTGAACATCTAAACTAAAAGCTTGACGAAAGACTGTGGAGATAAACTGTTCCATTCGATTAGAAAGAATTCGAAGAAGTTTTTTATCATTTTGATCAATTCGTTCCTTCCAATAACTGATGAATATCAATGCTGCGGTGTTTCGAATGCGAAATTCTGCATCATTGTAACATCCATCGATTTGGTCGATAATCTTTAATTTGATCTTCTGATGATTATCCACAACATGTTTTAAGATCCAAATCGATTTTTCACGAATAGAAAAATCGTCATGATAGAGAAGTGGACCAAGTTTCTTTAGAACACCACTGGGAATTTCTTCGTCCTGTTTACTCAATCGAAGATAAACAGATAAAATATTATTTAATAAACCATGATCGGTTTCATTCAACATCTCGGCTAATCCTTCTAAGATTTCGGAAGATAAGACTGTGGATTCATCCATCCCATAGTAACAGAGAGCAATAGCTGCTGTTTGTTTGACATTTTTCTCGGGATCACGGACTAGTCTACCCAGCGTATTGATCACTTTGCTAGGAATCGATGTCTTCTCTGCAGCTTGTTTAATACTATAAGCCAATGCCCATAGACAATTATCACGTGCTTTGATACCATATGTCTTCGATTCAGCCACTTGACTGAGTGTGTTCAGAATGCTTTCCGAGAATGTTCGTTGTTCTAATGTTGCTGCTTTAAAAAAGAGATAACTGGTTGTTTCACACGTGTCTTCATCCAATAGATCGTTTTCAATCGAATCTAAATTGAGTTTCAAACGATGACCTTTCGAAACATACAATGCGTACAATTCGATCAAATGTTGTTTTACAATGGTGTCAGTCGCTTTTTGCAATTGCTCTTCAATTTGTTTCATTTGATTTGCACTGAATGAGTGTCGATTCTTCATGGCAGAGAGAAGAGCTTCAGCACATGCACGATGGATCTTGTTATTAGTCCCAGATAAACGATTAATGATGGAATCGATCACTTGCGTTGACATGGCTTGATTACTCTTGGCAGCATCACAAAAGGCTGTAGCGATCATTTCAAAGATTTCTATTCGACTAGTCCATGGTACCAAACCCCAATGCGTTCCATCACCAAATTTGGCGACTAAATAATCAAAATCTTGATCTTTCAAATGGCCTGTTTTAGCCAGAGTTACGAGATTGGACACTTCGTTCCATGTTGTTCGATACCACGCTTGATTGTGACCTTTTCGAACATCGATCGGTTTCGATTCAGCATTGAATGTTCGACCAAGATGACCGACAGTATTCATTAAATGATCCATACTATGAAGTTTCACTGTTGGTTCAATTGATTCTTCTTCGGAACGAGAAACAGATGTGGTTTGTGTTGCTGTTAATTCTTTTTTCACATTGCCACCAGCCATCGAACTTGAGACATGAGATAAGATTCGTTTATTATCGAGAAAATTGAGTAATTCATGAATGGATTCCATCGAAGAACTATCACCATTGCTTGATAGATGTCTCAATCGTGAGATCGTTTCTTGACCAAGATGAGCACCACTGATGGCCATGGAATGTAATCCATGAACAGTGGCAAGAAGAACTTGTGTACTTAAACCATCGGTTCGAATTAATTCTTCGAATTTCTCTTTGATCACGGGTGCAATCCATTGGCGGATTTTATAAACATTGTTCAATGTGTAAATAAGTGTTGTTCGAACTTGTTCACCTAAGGTTCGATCGAACAGTAAATTCGACATCGATATCCACATGGCACCTGTTACCATGGGAATATATTTATCATATTCGGATATCTTTCGAAACAGATAGGAAATACTCCATCCAAGTATTTCATTTTTCAATGATTTGTAGAGCAATCGAATCAACAATGGACTGAGAATGTTTTTACAAGGCAAAATCGATGCGAATGCCCACATAATGCATTGTCGAATAACAACATCGGTTGTTGAGAGAAGTTCGGGTAAATTCCCAAAATAATCCGGTTCAACAAAACCGCAATTTTGTGCTGCATGAGCACAGAGAATGTATTTGATATGAAGTCGTTGCACATGATCATCCATTTCTTCGGCTGCTCTTTGTACTTCATGGAATATATCAGACGGTATTTCTTTTCCTGCAGCGACTTCAAGTGCTAGGAATATCAGACGAGAAGAGTCATCCTCATCACCATCGGTTGCCTTGTCTGATTCGTCATTGCTTGTTTCAGCATCACTAGTATCTTCACTGTCCATAAATTCATCGTCGGATTTCTCTTCGCTTTGACTGGCGTCCTTGAAACTTTCTTCATCGTCGGATTCCTCGTCCCTGTGACTGTTCTCTTCGGAACTTTCTTCATCTGTATCAGAATGTTGTACCTTCGTCTTTCGTACCGACTCTTCATCATCAGATTCACTCTCTTCACTTAAATCATTCGATGAACTGCTACTCTCTGAAACAATCCTTGTTTTTACATGGATTTCTTCATAGACTCAAGTCTTACCGGTGTCGATAATACGCCGACTCATCGGGAATATCAATGAGTGATTACCTGAATAGTATCACCTAGTAATGATCTGGAAACAAAAACACCAAATGATCGTTGTCAACTTTATGTAGGCTAGACTGAAGAACAACCAAGGGATATATCCATTTTTCTCTCTATCGTATTCGATGGGGAAAATCTCTTTGTTATAACCCTTGTGAAAGGGCGCGAGACAGGAGAGAAAGACAGAATGGATGAAACCCTCCCCCCTTGGATCGATCATAATGTGTGCATAACTCGATGATTGCGAATACAATCTATGGTATTTGAATCACGTATAGTGAATTTTAGGTGAAAAGAGAGTCTTATCAGTTTTTATGGTCTTCTATGCGCGCAAAGGAATGAAAATTGGGTGTACTTTTCACTGATTTCAATCGGTTCCGTTATGTTTTTTTCTGTTTTGATGGCCTTGAAAGACCCACTCAAAATATCTACGCATTTTGCAACGTCGCTGCATAATCTTTATGGCGGGGGTGTGGGTGTGGGTTCAATTAATGGTCATCCACACTCACGTCCACATCCACACCCACACGCCACCCTCACATCCACACCCACACCCACACCCTGTTTCTTCAATGACAAGCCGGCAATCGTATTTGGCTTACCAGTGTCGGTTGTATGTCGACTGATTCTTAATATAATTGATAAAATATATCAGTATTTTAAAGTACGAGTGATCTAGAATGAAAGATAAGAAATTTGACGCCTTTTTCATTGAACCGATAAGAGAGTGTGAATATTTCCTGCTATTGCCTCTGTTCGCTTTTTCCTTTCTTTTGGTTACTCGCTGAAGGATGTGAATGTGGTATTCTTTTGATGAATGTCTATTCTTACACTCACACTGTGATGATAGAACATTTGCATACCTGATCGTGCTTTATCGAATGTTTTTACATATTATAATGGAACACAGAATCGTTCTACCATCACAGTGCTTGCTAATTTTTTTTTATCAAAAGATATAAAGGAGCGTTTGAAATCATTCTATAACATTACATTTTATTTTGCTTTGAATTTCGATGGACAAACGGATTGAGAAAAAATACTTCGAACGAGAATCGAAGCATTCGAATATCTTTTCCCTTCTGGTTGAAATTTAATCATCGATATTCAAAGGACAGGAAATGTAGTGTTGTAAAGTGAGTGTTTTGTAAAAAGTGAGGATTTCATAGTATCTTTATCGAGTAATAAAGAAGGTCATAAAGAAAAATATAGCGTCAATCATAAAAAAAAAGCACGAGTATAGCAAAAAAGAGAAAGAGAAAAAAATAATCCTTTATATTCCGGTAAGAAAATGAGACATTTTATTCATCATGCGCCTCTTGGTTTTATCCTCTAGATATTGACGCCTGAAGTTTGGTCTCCGGTTCTCCTTTTCTCCTATCCACAAAATATATATGTGTAGACTCGATGATTTGTTTTTGAGATACGGCAATTATTCCTTTCTCTTCGTCTGTTCTATGTGTCGATCGAAGCTGTTTGGCTTACACTATGATGGACGACATAAGCATACAGTGAAGCACGGTAGATTTATAATATGCCACGCTGATTAGACAAAATGTGATAAAAAGAAGAAAAAAACAAAAAATAAAAAGAACAAGGAGAGAAAAAGAACAAGAAGAGAAAAAGAAAGGAAAAAAAATAATAGTGTAACCTATCCTCTATTCTCGAGTGAAATTTTCTCATGTATGTTGAAGCTACATCATCGGTTGTCCTTCTCTCGTACATATTCTTAACCGCAAGGGGAATAACCACATTATCCTTCTCTCGTTCTGTATATGTACTTTGGAATGACACACTTAGTATGTTCTCTTCTCGTACATAACGATATCCATAAAAGGAATAACCGCAATATTCTTTCCCGTTCTGTATATGTGTACTTTGGAATGACACGCTTGGTATGTTCTTCTCTGGTGCATAACGATATCCATAAAAGGAACAATCTCAATACTCTTTTCCATTCGTTGTGTACCCTGAAACGACATCCTTGGTGTGCCCTTCTCTCGTACATAGCATGATCCATAATTGTGTTCTAACCTTTGTTCCCCTCTCGTATTTTTCTGTTATTGTGTTCGCTGTATTTTTCAAGAACGTCCTACGTATGCGAAGTAGTATATAAGGGACGAGAAAAATATAGCAGGACGGACGTTTTCTTGTTATACCAATAAAATATACTAAGAATAGTTTTAACTGGTATCTCGTACAACAGAAATCGTTACAAATAGTGAGAAGGAAAAAGAAACAGAGTTTAAAGTAGAGAGTGAATAGCCTGAGCAATCATATTGCTGATATCACGACATAAAAACTCCAACCATTGGAGAAGTAAAGATTGATGCCTTTCAGGCATATGTCCAACTCGCTGCATTCGGGAAATATGCCCCAAATGACCATTTTTTCTCTTTTGAAATGCACCTCGGTAGAATATACTAGCGACAAACCGTACATACTACACGACCGGCTTCTCCTTGAATGTATGACTTTAGACGTTCGACTTTCCATCCGATAAAAGACATACAGATACGCGATATTATGTATATAGATTAATGGTTTACGGTCTCATATTCTAACACCTCTGAACAAAAGTCTTCTCCTCCATCTCTTTTTTCGGTGAGACTTTCTCTATTATTATAAGGAAAAAACATGCTGTTGTTCGGGCCATATGAAAGAGAAACCCAGTATCCCCTAATTGGTCCGAAAAACACCATGTTTTCTTCTTATGAAAGCAGAGAAAACCTTGCCGAAAACAAAGAGCTGTGAGAAAAGACTCTTCCTCAGGGATGTATATCCCACATATTTTTAAACTTCATGTGGCCTTATACCTTTATAGTCTTATACCCCTTACACTTCTTGTAGCCTTATCGCTTTATTCTCTTACACCCTTCAGGACCTACAAGTATCCTATAGGACAACCCTTGAGGATCCATGGATGCCTTCATACAACAATCCTTGAGGCCCTATGAGTACCTCCATATAGTAGTTTTTGAGGAAGTATGGGTACCTCCATAGTTTAGACTTCACGGATCAATGGGTATCTCGAAACTATTGATAATTTTACAAACGATGTATTAGTCAAATGTATATCTAGTCTCCAATTCTAAACTGACACTGGTGCATTCCTATTAGGAAGATATGAGATAGCTCATACGAAAAGAATTGATAACCTGCTGCAGCTCCCAGGAATAGGAGCTGTCACACACCTAGTGAGGACTTGAAGATACCATACGCACCTTCAAAGGAAGAAATACAAATCTAGGAAATACAACGATCAAGGGTTCGGATTGCGAGAGAATTCCAAAAATCCCGAGAGTCCCCTGGCAACCTAAGGAGTGCAACAGGAATTCCAGGAATACAAAAGAGTGTGGGTGTGGATGTGGGTGTGGGTGTGAATGTGGATGCGGGTGTGGGTGTGGGTGTGGGTGGGGGGTGG